GGGAGGTTGCAATTGCTGGAGGGTTTTACGACCCTTTGTTCGAGGGCATGGTAATTTGCAAATGTAATTCGCTTGGGGTGTGGATGCACAAACTAATAAAGATTCTTAGAACACTAATATGTTGCATAGGTATAGACATACAATATACACTCTCAATTAGATCATCCGAATACTAATTCATAGATACTAAACATGGTAGGGTTATATATATATATGTAAGCTGACAGGAGTGAGTGTTTCGATCATAAGCCTGCATAAAACAGTATACAATCTCAAAGACAAAATACACGATGACAATAATATACACAATGACCTGAAGGATCATGTGTGTTCATTCAAAGAAAGGTTTTCCTATTAATTAATTAATTAGCAAAGAAAAGTCCATCCCTTGTGGATTTTCCTTATGGACAAGGCAGTGATTTTCCCCACCTAAATTCCAGGAGGTCATAAATGTATCTGGTGTCAGGGTTGCCATGGTAACCAGGGGGGGCCTGGTGGCAGACATCCTGGCATCTAGTTTATTGGGTGAGGGGACTGTGACGATTTGTTCATCTAATGAATAATTGATTTGTTAAATCAAATGAAAAATGGTGTGTCTGATTGGTCCAGACGCTACAGGACTATAAAGTGTGTTAGGTCAGATAACAGCACAGAATTCATGGCAAAAGAATTTCAGTTGCTGCAAAACAAGAACTGCATTAGACACCAGCACCATATTCAGCCCATCAAAACGGGACTGCTGAGAGAAATTGGGGTACCTTGTTTGAGATGGCAAGATGTATGCTCTTAGAGAGTAATCTACCTAAGATGATGTGGATTTATGCTGTAATGACTGCTGCAGTAATTCGCAAACCCCATACTATGCACTGACAGAAACAGGTTCAGTGTGTTATGCGTACAAACATGACAAAAAAAAATTGGATGCACGATGTGAAAAAGGAGTCATTGTAGGGTACAACAAAAAAGCCCTGCATACCTGGTCTATTATCCAGACACAGGAAAAGTCCTCAAGCATAGGCTTGTGAAATTTGTCACAAAGAGTGTTACTGAACACCAGACACAGACTGACAATTCAATGCCAGATGACGATTTTCATAGGGGAAGATATGTGTCCTCTCAGTCAAAGGAGAATGGGCCTCATTTATCAGTCTAAAGTAAAAATGAGCACAGATCCGTGCGCACAAATCAACTTACAACAGAGTTCACATGTGATTCATGAAACATTTGTATGCCGCCAATCTCATTGTACGAATGATCGCACGTTGATAAATGTGGCGGCAGAAAACAATCGTCATTTGAATACCATGCCCCTAAAAACACTCTGGTTTAGAAGCCTCGCCCCTAGAGTTTACAACACGAAGAAACAAAACCTGGCCAAAAAGAGGAAGTAATCTCATAAAAGAGAAATTGATCTTACTCCAAAAACACTTGTTCACCTTGTAACTGCAAACAATTAGGCTACATTAATCTATATGTATATTAAAATACTGGTAAATTTTAACAGCCTATTTAGCTCCCTCTACAACAAATATTTTCAATTTAACGGTATTCAGAACAGAACAAGAATGAAAAATAAGTATTTATACAATTATACATTAAACTATAAAATAATACACAAATTAGGCTATAGTTGTCACGAGTGCCTGAACTGAATGTACACAATCAAACAAGGAAGAAAACTAGGTCATGGAGCACATGGGGAGAAAAACACACACACACAAGCAGTCCAGGGGTGTGACAATAGTAGCATTCATTAGAAACAGCAAAACTGAAACAGCATCGGGCTCACGAGCCTGTCTCATACTACAAGAATCCAAATGTTTCCATTTTTGCCATATTTATTACATTTGTTTGCATAGCTATTATTCATAGCCTAAACATGGCTTTATACTTAACTCATGTTCTAAAATCCTTCAAATGCGCAAAAAATGTTTGTTTGGGCACCGCACGCTGATTTTACAGCGGACCTTTTAAAAAAAACAATGTAACTTATGTTTGGTTGACTGCATTTTAGTTTGATGATGAATGGCTGAAATGTCAGGCAACGGTAGAACTAATCCGCTGCGTTCTCAAAACTCTGGCCATTTGATGATACCTAGAATATCAAAATCAACTGCGGGCGGCAGATGCTTTTCCTATTTAGCGCCCAAACTCTGGAATAACCTACCTAACATTGTTCGGGAGGCAGACACACTCTCTCAGTTTAAATCTAGATTAAAGACCCATCTCTTTAACCTGGCTTACACATAACACACTAATACGCTTCTAATATTCAACTCCGTTAAAGGATTTTTAGGCTGCATTAATTAGGTCAACCAGAACCGGGAACACTTCTCATAACACCCGATGTACTTGCTACATCGTTAGAAGAATGGCATCTACGCTAATATTAGTCTGCTTCTCTCTTATTCCGAGGTCACCGTAGCCACCAGATCCAGTCTGTATCCAGATCAGTGGTCACTGCCAGTCACCCGGATCCAGTACGTATTCAGACCAGGTGGTGGTCTGCACCTAGAAAGGACCTCTACAGCCCTGAAAGACAGCGGCGACCAGGACAACTAGATGAGCCCCAGATACAGATCCCTTGTGAAGACCTTGTCGCAGACGACCACCGGGACAAGACCACTGGAACCAGATGAGTCCTCTGCACAATGTGACTTTGCTGCAGCCTGAAATTGAACTGCTGGTTTTGTCTGGCCAGAGGAGAACTGGCCCCCCGACTGAGCCTGGTTTCTCCCAAGGTTTTTTTCTCCATTCTGTCACCGATGGAGTTTTGGATCCTTGCCGCTGTCGCCTCTGGCTTGCTTAGTTGGGGACACTTCATTTCCAGCGATATCGTTGACTTGATTGCAAAGATACTATTTAAACTGAACTGAGCTTGATGATGATGACGACATTACTGAATTCAATGATAAACTGCCTTTAACTAAAAAATTAGTGTTTACTATTGTCATTTTGCATTATTGACACACTATTTTCCTAATTAATGTCAGTTGCTTTGACACAATCTGTATTGTTAAAAGCGCTATATAAATAAAGGTGACTTGACTTGACTTGAGTAATGTTGTTTGTGTGTGCGTGAGGCGCCTGTGCGATCAGATGGATTGAAACAAATAAAGATACAAAGAAAAGTAATAAAATGCATTAAGAGTGTTACAAAAATGAGTGTAGCCTATACTTGTTGCGCAGTGTTTTTCTTTCCTTTTGTTAATTATATTATAGCCTAATATATATTTTGTGTGATCCTATTTTATTCCTTTTATAGACTTAATTTCTGTTTTACTCCTTTCACAGAAGTGCTGCAGGTGCATGATGCGATGATTGAATCCTCATGGTCTTGTTTACATGACTATTCACGCATATAAATCTAAAGCCCTGTATTAAAAAAAAAAAAAGACATTCTAATCTTTCTGGTTAATGATAGACTAATGAGCTTCGTTTGATGGTCAGGAAAATAAAATTGAACAAAATGCTGTCATTCTACAATTCTCCACCATATTTATTATGCTGACCGCAAGTTCAGGTAACTCAAACTAGCATACACGAGCGGAGACCAGATGTGAGATTTGATCTGAGCCACCACTCACATCCATATTGATAAATTCCAAGTTTTGCGTTGAAACGACCGTATGCCCAATTTTCTGTCGTATGTTCGTTTCGTAAATGAGGCCTGATGTGACTGATCAGACCCCAAAAGAGACTCATGAACCTCAAAATGAAACTAAAAATCAGAACGGTGCTCAGACAGAGGGAAATTATCATAATTGTCACGAATCCGGTCTGTGGCCTTCAGTCCGATTGCCACCAGAGGTCGCTCTCCCATTATACTGACTCTCACACCACACAGACTGTTACACATCACCCTGGACTGCATTTCCCATCATCCATTGCACTCATTGCACACAGCTGTAACCAATCACATGCTCACCTGAAAGCTATTGCACACACTATATAACACCCACTCAGATGCTACTCAAGTGGCCGAGTATTCTGTAATGGGGTGAACGAGACCTGAGACGTGCGGATCCATATGCAAGGCTTTATTTCCAAGACGTGGTCATATAACAGGTATGGGTCAAACAATGGCAAACTGGTACAACACAGGCAAGACAAAGAGTAATTCTAGGACAAGCGTGGGTCTTCGATAGGCTAACAGAATCCAGAGGGCTTGACAAAAGGGGTAATCCGTAATACACAGGCAAAGATCTTCACACAGGAAAGAAAAATGAATCAGAAAAGAGAGATTCAATATGTCCAACTGTAAACCAAGGTCAACACCATGTGAATGTGGCGATAAGCAGTCAGGTAGGAAAGGTTACCAGTAAAAACAGAAGTCCTATAGTCGACTACGCCACCCCGAATACAGAACAGCCCTATATAAGGGCACACAGGTTCCTTGCCAAAGGCAGGGTGAGCATGAAGATAGACTGTAATACATCAACAAGAATCACTTTTCAAACATACAATTAATAAATAAAGTCAGTCAATACACTACTTCACACAAGGTCTCAAATCACATCACAAACACAATACCAGTAACATACAAAATGATTAAATAAAGAAAAATAACAAAAGTAAAGAGGGTGGAGACCACACACACAGATTCAGTGACCGTTAACACAAAAATACCAAACCACAAACAAGCCCAGCCACTGGCACTAAAGAGGGAAACAAAATGGCCACAAAGAGCCAGATTATATAAACTTAGCCTCCCAGCTAACTTACATGCAGAACAGCGCAATCCTGTGCCAGTGCTTCTAACACAAATCGGTGCTTATCAAAGAAGGGCACCGCACGATGGCAGCATAAGCATATATAGCAGTCAGTGAAGCGACACTATACATCTGCATGAAAGACGGTGTGGCTCAGCCGGTGCTTATCATAAAAAGCAACACACAGAGGCAGCGCCGGCATTTATAGTGGCTAGTGCAAGCCACACTGCATACCTGTATGAAAGACACAGTCTGAGCTTATCAAGGGTGCCAGCGCTGTAGCACCAGTGTTGTATAAATAGCTGTCAGTGTAAACAACACTTAAACCGGTACAAAAGACAGTGGCACTGCCGGTGCATATCATAGAAGGCAACGAACAGTAGCAGTGGCTATGTATAGAGTGTACACGGCACTGATGAATAAAGCCGCACAGCACCGGTGGGAAGTCAGTGAGAGTGCTGGAGTATACGGCAGTTAGTATAGACAAGAACTACACTCCGCTTCTGAAAACAACCACTTAGCTGGTGTTTATAGGGTGATACTTCATAATCTTGTGAAGACTGAAGCTTACTGCTCACCGCTGGGTCGGGGGAATTTATATGCAGTGCTGGGAAGGTTACTTTGGAAATGTAATAGGTTACAGATTACAAGTTATCCTATTTAAAATGTAATAAGTAGTCAAGTCAAGTCACCATTATTTATATAGCGCTTTTAACAATACAGATTGTGTCAAAGCAACTTTACAGTTTTAAATAGGAAAATAGTGTGTTGATGCAAAATGACAATAGTAAACACTCAATTTTCAGTTAAAGGCTGTTCATCATTGAATTCAGTGATGTCGTCATCATCAAGCTCAGTTCAGTTTAAATAGTATTAGTATTAGTATTGTCTCCCCAACTAAGCAAGCCAGAGGCGACAGCGGCAAGGAACCAAAACTCCATCAGTGACAGAATGGAGAAAAAAACCTTGGGAGAAACCAAGCTCAGTCGGGGGGCCAGTTCTCCTCTGGCCAGATGAAACCAGAAGTTAAATTCCAAGCTGCAGCAAAGTCACATTGTGCAGAGGACTCATCTGGTTCCTGTGGTCTTGTGGCCGTCTAGGAGACAAGGTCTTCATTGGGGATCTGTCTCTGGGGCTCATTTAGTTGCCCTGGTCTCCACTGACATTCAGGGCTGTAGAGGTCATCTATAGGTGCTGATCCACCATCTGGGCTGGATACAGACTGGATCTGGGTGACTGCAGTGACCATCTGATCTGGATACAGACTGGATCTGGTGGCTACGGTGACCTCGGAATAAGAAAGAAACCGACTAATATTAGCATAGATGCCACTCTTCTAATGATGTAGCAAGTACATCGGGTGTTATGGGAAGTGTTCCCGGTTTCCGGTTGTCCTATTTATTGCAGCCTAAAAATCCTTTAACGGATTTGAATATTAGTAATCTGTTACAGTGTTATGTGTAAACCAGGTTAAAGAGATGGGTCTTTAATCTAGATTTAAACTGAGAGAGTGTGTCTGCCTCCCGAACAATGTTAGGTAGGTTACTGCAGAGTTTGGGCACTAAATAGGAAAAGGATCTGCCGCCCGCAGTTGATTTTGATATTCTAGGCATTATCAAATTGCCAGAGTTTTGAGAACGCAGCGGACGTGGAGGACTATAATGCAATAAGAGCTCGTTCAAATACTGAGGTGCTAAACCACTCAGGGCTTTATAAGTAATAAGCAAGATTTTAAAATATATACAATGTTTAATAGGGAGCAGACAGAAGTGTTGTGTTGCAGTGTTGACAGAACCGGGCTAATATGGTCATACTTCCTGGTTTTAGTAAGAACTCTAGCTGCTGCATTTAGTTTATTAAGCGTGCAGAACAACCACCCAATAAAACTTCACAATAATCTAACCTTGAGGTCATGAACGCATGAATTAAAGTTTCTGCATTTGACATTGAGAGCATTGGTCATAATTTAGATATATTTTTGAGATGGAAAAATGCAGTTTTTCAAATGCTAGAAACGTGGCTTTCAAAGAAAAGATTGCTATCAAATAGCACACTTAGGTTCCTAACAGATGACAAAGAATTGACAGAGCAGCCATCGAGTCTTAGACAGTATTCAAGGTTATTACATGCTGAGGTTTTATTTCCGATAATTAACAGCTCTGTTTTTTCAGAATTTAGCAGTAAGAAATTACTCGTTATCCAGTTTTTTATATCGACTATGCATTCCGTTAGTTTTTCAAATTTGGAATATTTTCCACAAAGAAATATAGAGCTGAGTATCATTCGCATAACAGTGAAAGTTAACACTGTGTTTCCTGATGATATCTCCCGGAGGTAACATGTAAAGCGTGAAAAGTAATGGCCCTAGTACTGAGCCATGTTAATAAAACTCCATGCTGCACTTGTGATCGATAAGATACCTCTTCATTCACTGCTACGAATTGATGGCAGTCAGATAAGTACGATTTGAACCATGCTAATTCACTTCCACTAATGCCAACAAAGTTTTCTAGTCTATGCAAAAGAATGTTGTGGTCTTTAGAGACGAACATAGCGCTTAGATCCGGTAGCACTAATAGAGAGATACAACCACGGTCAGAAGATAAGAGCAGGTCATTTGTAACTCTAATGAGAGCAGTCTCCGTACTATGATACGGTCTAAATCCTGACTGGAAATCCTCACAAATACCATTTTTCTCTCAGAGGGAATATAATTGTGAGGATACCACTTTTTCTAGTATCTTGGACAGAAAAGGGAGATTCGAGATCGGTCTGTAATTAACTAGTTCTTTGGGGTCAAATTGTGTTTTTTTTAATGAGAGGCTTAATAACAGCCAGTTTGAAGAATGTTTTGTATATTGAGATCTCTTTCTGTGTGACTGATCCTCATCTGTATCTCTTTCCTCTTGCGACTTAAATCCAGCAGGATTTCTTTGAGATGTGTTAGCCGTACTACGTCCTTCTTTAGGCGATGCCAGCTTGAATAATAATGAACAAGATGTTCTAGATCTTCCTTACTGTTCTGAGTGCATATTACGTTAACAGTGGAAACCTTTTTAAGCTCGCTGTCATCATCTGCAAATGACATTGAATGTTCAGGTTGAACTGGCCACTCACATTGTGGCTTCAGCAGGAAACTAGGTCCTTTGATCCAGTTTTTGCTTCTGATCAAGTTGTCCGCGTTTAGGCCTCTCGAAGCTTGGTCCGCAGGATTATCTGCAGAGCTCACATATCTCCATTGAGAAGGTTTGGAAGCTTCTCTAATTAATGAGACTCAGTTTGCAGTAAACGTCTTGAATCTTGTGGAGTCGTTCTCAATATATCTCAGCACTGTGGTGCTATCAGTCCAAAAATTAGACTCCTCAAGATCGATTTGAAGCTCCTGTCTCGGCATCCTATCCATTTTGACTGCGATGGTGGCTGCTGTCAGTTCCATTCTTGGAATAGTAACCTGCTTGAGTGGTGCCACTCTGACCTTTCCCATCATGAACATGCAGCTCCTTTGATCGTGATCATTTGTCAACAAGAGGTATGTGACAGTTCCGTATCCGTTCTCGCTAGCATCTGTAAAGTGATGCATTTGAAAGGTCTTGACATGCCCGAACCCTGCAGGTTTGATACATCTACTCACACTGAAGTTTGCAAGCTTATGCAAATCTTCCAGCCAGGACAG